AAGGTTGGAGATCTGTGGGTGCCACCTTGGGTCACTAGTGCATGAACAGGGAGCTCAGCCCCCGCAGCCAGTAGCAGCTCCCAACAGAGCCTTTGCCTGAGGTGCTGTCCCCAAGTAGGGCTGTGGGTGCTTGGGACAAAATAACCCTGAAATGTAGAGAAGAAACCTGGAAAGATGGTGGGGAGCAGAGCAGGGCCACTTGAGGAGATCTCCTGGGGCTGTTGCCAGCAGGGGCTGTGGACTTCGGGAGGGAGGTGGAACATTTGGGATGTTCCACTGGAATTGAATCCACACAGGTGAGCTCCACCCCTCTGAGCCCCTGCCCTCTGGGCATGCTCATGGTGATGAAAAAGATGCCTGGTCCAGCTGGGAGACAGACGCGATGGCTCAAATATGCTTTTGCAATTTTCCCATCTAGGCAGAAACCCACCACAACAGGGTAAAAGTGAGGGCGGGACATTTTATTTGGGAACTGAAAGAACGAGCCACCTTAACACATCCAGTGTGAGAGGGATATTTAATCTGATCTATCTCAATAGAGGCTTATTTAGCAATAAAGAAGTTCCTTGTCACGGCACCGACAAAAAAAAAAAGGCGACATTGCCAGAAAACAATCCTATCTGCAGAGAGATGTCTTCTTTTTTCCTTTTTTTTTTTCTTTTTCTTTCTTTTTTTTTCCTATTTTTTTATAATTTGCTAATTAGTGACTGCTGGGCATCACAAGGATCGTTGTTTTCTCTGATATGCTGATTTCTTGTGTCTCAGTGGAATTGGAGATCACAAAAATAAAATAAAAAAAAGAAAAGCTGCTTCTTCAGAAGACAGAATGGGGAAAAAGTTTTAGTAAGGTCAGGAGAAATTTAATTGAAAGAATGAGTTTATTTCTTCTTTCCTGAAGGGGTATTGTGTTCTTTTGCTAAGCAAATTGCTGGTTAAAGAGACCAAGGCAAAACAAAATGGTTTTTAAATTATAGATCAAAGAGCAGGATGTTCTTGGAAGCCTCCCCCCGCAACTCACATTCTCAGGCAGGTCTCCGGTGAGCAGTGTGGCCACAGGGAGCTGGCATCACCCAGAGCACGGCTGGGAGATGCAAAAACCACACCAGGAAAAGCCTGGAGCAGAAAGTACTGGGATCCACAAAACTGTGTGGGAGGCTTGTGGGGGTGGGGGTGGGGAGAGCTTCTCCAGCTATCACTTTCACTTGGAGGGGCAAGACTTTGCACTCAGAAATTGACCACCAGTTTGGCCTTGTATTTGCAGCAAGTCCATCCTGCCCCAAACCAGCTCTTAGAGAAGAGCCGTGCTCCAAGGCAGCCTGATGCATTGATAATTCTTTTGCAAGATATATGCTATCAAGTAAAACCAGCAAGGATTCCTGCAAAACCTGAGCTGGTATCTCTTTGTTCCAAACATATTTGTCGAAAGACCAAAAAAACACCCACCCTCTCTCCAGTCCCTGACCACTGTGAGGCTCATTGATGGCTTACAGTGACTATTTGCTCTGCCAGTGCGCACCTCACTCACCTCACTGGCCACCAACTGCCTGCAGCCCTGCTGTCCTTTCAACCTGGACTGTTCAAAGGGTTTGCTCCAATGCAACAGCTAAAAGGCTTTTCAAACTCTCTTGTGGTCCACTGAATTTTTTCCATCCCATGGAGAGTTGATGAAATGCTCCTGAAATGGAGACTCTGAACAGTGTCCTGGAGGGCAGAGCATGGAGATTTCCATGTTCTGCCTCTCCCATTATTCCCACCTCCATGTCACCAGACAGGAGGAAAGGCTGTCTCCTAAACTGATATCACTGGGGCTGGTTTTGGCTCATCAATGCAGGGGATGGAAAATCCTGCACACACCCACACAGGTACCAGTAGCATCCCAGGGGGAAGCCAAAATCCAAGCCCTTGCTCTCGAGATCCCCTCTGCAGACTTCAGGCATCCCAAATGGCTGAGATCATCACCTTCTCCTGATGGCTGCGGGGGGGATGCCCACCTGAGCCCTGCCCAAGGTCAGGCTGTTATTCATCCATTTTTAATCAAACCCGCAGCTGAGGTTACAGCTGCAGCCTTTGAAATTGCTGCAGAATTTTGCAGTGAGGTTCCAGCTTTGCCTGTTGCTGTTTTCATCTCTTGATTGCAACCCCCTCCAACACTCTGCCCGGCTAAACCATCCCCACTGGAGGCCCCACGCCCTTGCCGCTCACCTGGTCCCGTGCCAGGAATGAACTAAGAGCATGAGTTCTCTGCAGGCCTGGGGTCTCAGTGCCCTCATGGCATTGCTGGCCTGTGCCTCCTCAGTGCTGGCTGGGACACCCACCATGTCATGCCCTTCCAGTGCCAATACCAAGGGCAGAAAGCATTGACATTCCCTCTGGGTCTGTGCCGTGCAAAAGTAAACTTAACAACATTATCCACTGATCTGGTAATTAATACCCTGGATGCTTTTTATTAGAGTGAGCAAGGGCAAGGACGTGCTGGGGGTTTTAATCAAAGGCCGGGCTGGAGAGGTGCTTTCCCCTGGTTTCCCTGGAAGGCGCTGTGCTGGGCAGAGGCTTGGGGTCTGGTCTGCATGGAGTGTCATGTTAGGTGTTCCTGGAGTGATCCCAGCCCTGCACCCACCATACATCTGTTCTACCTGCCCATGTATTACATCTAATTCCACACCGCACCACACTGGTTCTTTTCTTAAGTGAGATGCTTTCAAGATCTTTAAATATTAGGCACGAAGTGTTTTCCCAGGCTTTCACTGTGCTCCACTCCACAGCACCCATTCAGGGCAGGGAGCAGGCAAGAGCACTCTGCCTGGCAGCACCAGGGATGTCAGGGCCATTTTGCTCCAAAACTGCTGTATCTATAGTTGATCCTGCTGCTATTTTTAATACAGATGCCTTATTGAGATTCAAATGAATGTTTCAAATCCTCACTCTTTTGCATAATTCTTTTTAATTAACACTTCAAAGATTTGAACACAAGATTCGTACTATTTCCCTGACGAAGTTGACTAAACCTTCTTTCCCCCAAAGCTCCCCTGTCACATTTCTGAGGGCTAAAGCTGGTTCTAGGGCTGTCCCCTGTGTACCCTCTGCAGGGGGGTGATGGTGTTTGGGATCAGGCTCTGCCAAAATAGGAGCTAAGGGAGAAGAAGGTGTCCATGGCTGCAGTGGCTACCATCACGCACCCCTGCAAACAGCTTGGCACAGACCACACAACTGAACAGCCTGAGCTTGGCACAGAAATCATGGTGTTTGAAGTGAAAATGGTCAAGGCCACTACTCCGTCATCCCTTGCCCCAGCATCAGCTGCTGCTCTAACAAACACATTGTCCCCCCACCCACCCCGTGTCAAACAAAACCTCCCCCAAAGCAGCATCATATCTCCCAAGACATGTTTCGCTCACATTTCCAACTTCCTGACACCCAAAAGACCCAGAGGCACCTTTCTTCTTTCTGAAATTGTACTTTTAAAATAAAAACTGTACTTGTCATACAGTTGCATTCATTAGAAAGAGCTGGAGCTTTACCTCAGCTATCCCAAGAGCTGGGAATGATAAAAGGCCCCCAGGATGTAATAGAGAGACAAGTGCAAAAGAAGCAGCCCAGGTCCCCATACCACTCCCCCCCTCATTTCCCTACGCACAGGGATTCCCTGTCTTGAGTGGGAGCATCCTTAGTTTGCAGGACTGAAACTCATAAGAGCAGTGTGGTTCAACACATGGAGAAATAAGCTTCAGCTTTAATTCATGCAAGTGAAGAAATTATTAGACACAACAAAATTGTATAATTAGCAGGATTTAATAAGATACTGTCCCAGACATGCAAAAGAAGTGCATCCTTTATTCAGCTACAAAAGACATTAATTTGAAATACTTTTAATATTAATTTTTTGTTATTTAGACTGATTTTTTGAAAGTCTACAATAAAATGAGAAATCTGGACTAAGCATTGCAGTTACATTTCCAAGCGCAGGAATCCAGCTTTCATGTTCCTCTTGATAACATTTTTTTAGAGCCTTGACTGCATAAAATTAAATTCTGATTACCCTGGTAGTGCAATACAGCTTCCAAATGTATTCAGGTGACTTTTTGTTCCAGAAGGAAATTAGCTATTTTGACAAGGATGCTTGTTAAGCAGGAAAGAGATGGGGAGGAAACAGCCCTGCCACAGAAGCAGCACATGCCCAGCCCTGATTTCAGTCCTGGGGCTACTGAGCTGTGGTGGCCCAGCAGGCCAGGCCACTGGCATTGAGACTGTAGCAGGGAGCAGGGGACACAGGCAGACTCTGCAAAAGCCAGATTACACCTTTGGTGGCTCACAGGTCTCCCAGTACCAGAGACCTGGATCATTTGTCCCCTCCAGATGGGACATCCCAAAGGGACATGCCCTTGACTGGCAAGTCCTCAGAGCATGGACCATGGGTGACCACAGGATATGCTGTTAGAGCAGGACAGATACATCAGATATTACCTCTACGTGCAGAGAGGCCGCTTCATGTCTCATCCCTATCTCAGTCGTGGTTTAAACTCAGCTCTGAATCACTGGTTCTGCTGTGGGCACAGACACAGTATACAAGGGGGATGAGGTCCCTAATGTGGATAAGGAAGGACATCCCACCCATGTGAGCCATGTGTGATGCCCAAGGAGCAGGTTGAGTCCCCCATGCCCTGTTCATTTCCATGCAGTAGTGCTACTCCCTGGTCCAAGTTCCACTCCATGGCTGGATGTTAGGATGAAAATAAAGTGCAAATATTATTGTTGGCAGAGATTACCAGCTCCCCACTGTGATTTTGGCATCTTTAAACGTCACGTTTTATTAATCCTCACCATACAATTAGCAGCATCGAAATGTGATGTCTGCAAACAAAGACATGAGCTTCAGTATCGTGTCTGTGAGATACAGGGGTTGGGCACTGCTGTGGTTTTGCCTTGGGTCAATTTGCTTTCACACTCCCCACACAATTACCACTAGTTGAGAGAAGGTTTATGCAGACAAAAGAGACTTGATCTGGGGGAAAATGTATTAGCATTTATTACTAATAAGCTAAAACTAAAGAACTATATCTACAATAATTCTACTTAAGTAAAAGTACTATGTATTTACAGAAATATTCCTCTCCCCCTTTTATATCAGTCCAAGGAGGAGAAGGAGTTCTTTTCTCCATTCTTGGAGTTCCAGCTTTCTCTCTCCAGTAACTCTGCAGCATGGATCTCTCACTAAGATCCCAACACCCCACCTGAGCGTGGGTTTCCTTCAGGGTCACAAAGTCTTCAACAGGACTCTGCCTCACCTCAGGTCTCTCATGAAGTCTCGACTTCTTGGTACATCATCTACGAGCTCCTCTGTGAGCTGCATGGGGGGTCTCCTCACCCCAACAAACTTCCATAGGTAGCAGGGATTACTTTTCAGTCTTTTCCCTGCTGAAGGGAGAGAGTAAAAGAGGAGGAGAAGCAAGTCCCCCTTTGCACAGTTCTTCTCTCTCCTCTGGCTGCTAATTTTGACCTTGGACACTCCATTTTCTCTTTGCTGCAATTCTTCTGCCACAGTTTCTGTCCAAGAAGTTTGTCTTTTAAAGTTTTTTTTTCTTCACTCTCTTACAGAAGAGAAGGGGGAGTTTCAATGCTATACCTGCCTCTGGCCCAGGGCTGGGGGAGGAGGGGGCCTAGCCCCCCTTGGGCCCACTGCTCTTCTACATGGCTGCTGCTCTTAATTTCAACTGTGCAATCCCCTTTTCTTCCGTTTTCTTAAATATGTAATTAGCAAAGGGGTTACTGAGAGTTTTAATTGGCTTCTTGTCCGAAAATTCACCTGGACAAAACCATTCTCAGTCCCAGGGGCTGGCCGACTGGGCAAAACCACTTGAATGTAAATATGCACGTTAAGGAGTTATATAGTGGGACTACACAAAAGATGGAGCTAGAGTCACCTGCCCTGAGTAGGGATGTGGTTCTCATGGTCTTTGTCTCCTTCTCCTGCATAGCTCAGGGAAGGGTTGCTTCAATAGAAAAATTGCTGTTTTCTGTCAGCTTTGCTGGATAAAGCATCTTGTCCTCAAAACCTGTCTTTTCCCAGTAAGTCTCCCTCCAGGAGTCTTGGCTTCAAAAGGAGACTTTCTTGGTGAACTGGCAGCTGCTATGGGGACAGCTCAGCAGCTGCTACTAGAGCTGTCTTCTTCCTTGACAGCCAAGGTGGGATGAGGGAGCAGAGGGTCACAAACCTCCTTGAAGCCACTGCTCAGGGCTGAGCTGTATTAAGATCTGTGAGAAATGCATCTGCCTAAATTAAGGTGCAAATGAGACCATATGCCCAAGTATAATAATACCTATTTTATTTAACAATAGAGGTGAGGTAGAGAGAAAGAAATAGAAAAAGGGGGAGAGAGTGAGATCAAGTAGGATAGTCACCACCTGTGTATCCAGCAGTGTCCTGTTGGTCCTCCTTCATCCTGGGCTTCTTGGTGGGAGTGGTGTCCCAGAGCCATTCTTCTGTGAATACAGTCCAAGTTCCAGGTATCCACAGGGTGGTTGCAGAGGCTGTGGTGACTTGGGGTGTGTGAGCAGTTTATTCCTTTCCCACAGTTTGTCACAGCTGGAATTGTTGTATAGATGCATTAATTAGGATGTGCTGACCAGATCTGGCCTCTGGTAGGCCTGGAATTAGCACCTTCCTGTTGCAAATTCCTCTCTTCTGTGCTTATCTGAAGTTCCCACTGGGGTGGATTATCTTGTGGCAACTTCCTTCTGTGGCCTTGACAGTGTTTGAGACAGGCCACAGTGCTCTTTAAGTCCTTACAAGCTGTGACAGTAGGATCACACATAGGAGGCACTGCCAGCTCCCCACATCAGCACTGGGAGAGGATCCCACCCTCCAGCACTGCCCAGCTGTGTTGCTTTAGGACCTGACGTGAATGAGGAACAGTCACCTGTGAAAGCCAAGAGAAGGAAAAGAACACCTTCTTCAGCTCACTGCCCCACACCAGCCCTGGGCTGAGCCCCCATGGACCTTCTGTGGCTGGAGATTTCTTCCACACAAACTTCAAAGGATTTATTCTCCTTCACTGGAGGACAGTGAAGCTCACAGCAGCAGCTGGTGCCATCAGCACCCACTGTAGAAATAAGCCACACAGAACCCCAGGGACCAGCTGTTCTTGCACATCTATTTTAGATACCAAGACCCTACACAGGGCCAGGGAACTGCTGAATAAACAGAAAATCTCCAACTACTTATTCTTGATGGCAACCTTTGCCCACCTTGAAAGAAGAAAATAGGAGGATATAATGGATGACACTGCGCAGACCCTGGTACAGTTCTGGAATATAATACAGTTCTGCCTGGCCAGTTTTCATGTTATTGTGCTCAGTCACCTGTACTTTTCTTGGGGCCTCACTATGGAATCAATCCATCACCTACAAACCTCACCAGCTATTTGGAAAGAGATGTATAACTTTCAGATAATCTGGGTAGTGGAAAATTTTATTTGAAGTCCCGGAAAAGAAGGAGCCAGGAAGAAAAGAAAAAAGCATCCCAGATTTTTCCTGCATCTTAAGAAAGAATACAGATGAAGATTTCTCCCAGACAGAAGGTGCTAGGACAGAAAGCTCTTGCTGCTTATGGAGTGCCCAGGGTGGCCCACCAACTGCACTAGAAATCACGAGTGTCAGGGCTTTCTTTCCTGAGGCAAGGGGCTGTTGTTTGCATGCAGAAACCCATTACTGAAATTGCCAGTCCAACTCCCAAAATTGAATACAAATGAAGATTCCTTCCAGACAAAACTGGCAGGAGAGAAAGCTCTTGCTGCCATGGAGTGCCCAGGGTGGTCCACCAACTGCATCTGACATGCAAAGGTTACAGGCTTTCTTTGCTTGGGTGAAAGGGCTGTCTTTCGTTTGCAGGAGCCCTGCCTTGAAATTGCCAATCCAACTCCCAAAAATTCAATACAGATGAAGATTCCTCCCAGACAAAAAGTGCCAGGACAGAAAGCTCTTTCTTCTTATCGAGTGCTTAGGGTGGTCCACCGACTGCACCTGAAACTCAAAGGTTACAGGCTTTCTTTCCTTGGGCACAGGGCTGTCATTTGCTTGCAGGAACTCTGCACTGACATTGCCAGTCCAACCCCTGAAATTGAATATGGATGAAGATTCTTCCCAGATAAAAGGTGCCAGGACAGAGAGCTCTTGCTGCTTACAGAGTGCCCAGGGTGGCCCACCAACTGCACCTGAAACCCAAAGGTTACAGGCTTTCTTTCCTGGGGGAAAGGGCTGTCATTCACTTGCAGAAGCCAAGTGTTTATTTTGCCAGTCCAACTCTCAAAATTGAATACAGACAAAGATTCCTGCCAGGCAAAAGGAAGCAGGACAGAAAGCTTATGCTGCTTGTGCAGTGCCCACAGTAGTCCATCAACTCCACCTGAAACCCAAAGGCTACAGGCTTTGCGTCCTGGGGAAAAGGGCTTTCAGGAGGCCTGCACTGAAATCACCAGTCCGACTCCTCAAATTGAATACCAATGAAGATTCCTCCCAGACCAAAAGAGGCAGTACAGAAAGCTATTGCTGTCCATGGAGTGCCCAGTGTGGCCTACCAACTGCATGTGACACAAAAGGGTTATGGGCTTTCTTTACTGGGGGAAAGGACTGTCCTTCACTTGCTGAAAGAAAGCCCTTTCCCCAAGGAAAGAAAGCCTGTAACCATTCAGTGTGAGGTGCAGGTTGTGGGCCATCCTGGGCATTCCACGGACAGCAAGAGCTTTCTGTCATGCCACCTTTTGTCTGGGAAGAATCTTCATCTGTATTCGATTTTGACAGTCGGACTGGCAATATAAAATGTTTGGCTCCTGCAAGTGAAGGACAGTCCTTTCCCCCAGGAAAGAAACCCTTTAACCTCTATGTTTCAGGTGCAGTTGGTGAGCCACTCTGGACATTCCACAAGCAAGAAGCAAGAAGCAAGAGCCACTCTGGACATTCCACAAGAACTTTCTGTCCTGGCATCTTTTGTCTGGGAGGAATCTTTGCCCATATTTAATTTATGCAGTTGGACTGGCGATTTCAGAACAGGGCTCCTGCAAGGGAGTGATAGTCCTATCCCCCAGGAAAGAAAGCCTGTAACTTTTGCATGTCAGATGCAGTTGGTGGGCCACCCTGGGCACTCCATGGCCAGCAAGAGCTTCCTGGCACCTTTTGGTGGGGAAGGAATCCCCATCTGTATTCAGTTTTGGGAGCTGGACTGGCAATTTCAGTGCAGGCTTCTTCGAGTGAACAATAGCCCTTTCCCCCAGGAAAGAAAGCCTGTAACCTTTTGGGTTTCAGGTGCATTTGATGGGCCACCCTGGGAACTCCATAAGCAGCAAAACTTCGCACCTTTTGTTTGGGAAGAATCTGTGGAGGATCATGACCAGAGCAAGCACACAATAGGTTAACAAAGCAGTGGACATTGCCAGAATGGAAAAGAACATAGTAGAAAATAGGAGGAGGTGGTGACCACAGTCCCTAGACTCAGACGGAGTGATCTTCATCTGACTTAAAGCACGAAGATGACTGAAGGAAAGAAGAATGCATCTTGAAAGCTGATAGGTATAAAGATGGACGTTAGTTGTTAAAAGGTAGAAATATGCATACTGTAATGTCATAGGGCCAAGTACTTCTTGTTGATAGGTTGAAGATGCTTTGCTTTGCTCACAGAGCTGAAATGAAACTAGTTCCTCTATAAAGGCTTGAAACAAATAATAAATGATTTTCTTGATGACCAGTGAGAGTGTCCGTGTCACAGTTGCTACAGAATCTTTGTCTGTATTTAATTGAGAGAGTCATACTAGCAATTTCCAAGCATGATTCTTCCAAGTGAATGGCAACCCTTCCCGCAGGAAAGAAAGCCTATAAGCTTTGTGTTTCAGGTGCTGTTGATGGGCTACCCTAGGCACTCCAAGAGCAGAAGAGCTTTCTCTCCTGGCATCTTTAGTCTGGGATGACTCTACGTCTGTATTCAATTTTGGGAGTCAGACTGGCAATTTCAGCACATGGCTCCTCCAAGCACACAACAGCCCTTTCCCTAAGGAAAGACCTTACCCTCTTGCTTTATCGTGCAGTTGGTGGGCCACCCTGGGCACTCCATGGGCAGCTAGAGCCTTTTTTCCTGGCCCCTTTTGTCTGGGAGGAATCTTTGTCCTTATTCAATATGGGGAGTTGGACTGGCAATTTCATCGCAGGGCTCCTGCAAGCAAAAGACAGTCCTTCCTCCCAGGAAAAAAAAGCCCTTAGCTTAGGTCTCTCATGCAGGTGGTGGTGGGCCACTCTTGACGCTCCATGGGCAGCAAGAGATTTCTGTCCTGGCATCTTTTGTTTGGGATAATCTTCGTCCATATTCAATTTAGGGAGTCAGACTGGCAATTTCAGTGCAGGGTTTCTGCAAGAGAACGACAACACTTCCTCCAGGAAAGAAAGCCCTTATCCTCGGTCTCTCATGTGCAGTTGGTGGGCCACTCTGGGCACTATATAAGCAGCAAGATCTTTCTGTCCGGACACTGTTTGGGAGAAATATTCGTCTGTATTCAGTTTTGGGACCTGGACTGGCAAAATAAAAGCTTGGCTCCTGCAAGTGAATGACAGCCCTTTCCCTAAGAAAAGAAAACCTGTAACCTCTATGTTTCAGATGCAGTTAGTGGGATGTCCTGGGCACTCCACGAGCAGAGAAGCTTTCTGTCCTGGCTCCTTTTGTCTGGGAAGAATCTTCATCTGTATTTAATTTAGAATCTTCATCCGTATTTAAATGTCAGACAGGCAATTTCAGCACCGGCTTTCCACAAGTGAATATGAACTGTTTCTCCCCAGGAAAGAAAGCCTGTAACCCTTTGGTGTCATGTCCCATTGGTGGGCCAACCTGTGCATTCCATAAGCTGAAGAGCTTTCTGTCCTGGCACCTCTTCTCTGGGAGGAATCTTCAGCCATATTCAATTTTGGGTGTTGGACTGGCCATTTCAGTGCAGATTTCCTGCAAGAGAACTCCAACCCTTTCCCCAGGAAAGAAAGCCCTTACCCTTGGTCTTTCCTGTGCAGGTGATGGGCAACTCTTGGCACTACATGGGCAGCATAAGCTTTCTGTCCTGGCACTTTTTGTCTGTGAGGAATCTTCATCCATATTCAATTTTGAAGAGTTGGACTGGCAAAATAAACACTTGGCTCCTGCAAGTGAATGACAGCACTTTCTCCCAGAAAAGAAAGCCTGTAGCCTTTGGGTTTCAGGTGCATTTGGTGGGCCACCCTGGGCACTCTGTAAGCAGCAAGAGCTCTCTGTCCTGGCACCTTTTGTCTTGGAGATATCTTCATCCATATTCAATTTTGGGAGTCAGAGTGGCAATTTCAACCCTTGACTTTTGCAAGTGAACTTCTGCCCTTTGCCCAAGGAAAGAAAGCCTGTAACCTTTGGGTTTCAGGTTCAGTTGATGGGCCACCCTGGGCACTCAATGGGCAGCAAGATCTTTCTCTCCTGACATCTTTTACCGGGGAGGAGTCTTTCTTCATACTGAATTTTAGAGCAGGCCTCCGGAAAGCAAACGACAGCCTTTTCTCTGAGGAAAGAAAGCCTTTAGCCTTGTTCTCTCAGTGTAGGTGGTGGTCCACTCTGGGCACTCTATTGCCCACTTTTTGTCTGGGAGGAATCTTCGTCTGTATTCAATTTGGGGAGTTTGACTTTCAATTTCATCAGTTGGCTCCTGCAAGTGAATGACAGCCCTTTCCCCCAGGAAAGAAAGCCTATAACCTCTGGCTTTCAGGTGCTGTTAGTGGGCCTCTGTGGACACTCCATAAGCAGCATGAACTATCTCTCCTAACACCTTTTGCCTGGGAGAAATCTTTGTCCGTCTTCAGTTATGGGAGTCATACTGGCAATTTCAGAGCACAGTTCCTGCAAGCGAATAAAAGCCCTATCCGCCAG